TGATATATATATATATATATATATATATATATATATCTGATATATTCGATATATGATATATATATATATATATATCATTGATATATATATATATATATATATATATATATATATATATATATATATATCTGATATATATATATATATATATATATATATATATATATATATATATATATATATATATATATATATATATATATATATATATATATATATATATATATATATATATATATAAATATATATCAGATAAAAGGCGTGAAAAACCCTCAGCGATGTAAACACGTAGGAACAAAGATGAATGCAAATAGGAAAAAAAACATTGTTAATTCTTCATTTATGTAAGGTATTTGTATCTGATTGCACTATATCGCTTTGACTGATTTCCTCATCTTTATCGTCATATTAACGACGTTTCGGCCGTTGTACGCTTCGGCTTTCTTTTGGTAATATACGTTGGAGTTTCGAGCCGGACCCTTTATTTAGTCCCCGGAATAGATTGTGCTAGTTCCACGTCTTTTCTGGATATCAAAGTTTCAGTTATTTTCATTTAGTAACTCAACTCCCAAAGTTTTTATTCACCTCTGCTGTGGTCAGGTATTGAACTCACAACTCTTTGGGTCAAAGATTGGATTGCTTCAACCAACAATTTTGTCCATTGGACCACTTGAATATTTTTTTTTTCCAATTCTGAATGCGCCTCTGTTTTCTGTTGGTTTAATACTTTCTGGGGAATAGAGTAATTTATTAATTGATATCTTTCCCAAGAGTGTTTGTGCGTAAGTGAATGCAATGAACTCGACTGGAATTTAAACCCCGATTTCTTATCCTGAGCTGATATCCATTGCACCACAACGAATTCATAAAATCTTGCACTATACACGAGTAAGTAAAGAAATTCTTTTCTACAAATCAACCATTCGTAATGGCATTGAATACAATTGTCATATAAGGTCTGGTGCCCCACTGTTCATCTCGGCGCCCTCAATCAAATCCAGAGACGGATATGCAACGTGAAAGGTCCTGATCTGGAATCTCGACTCCAGTCACTTTATCATAGACGCGCTGTGGCTTCCCTCTGTCTTTTCTACAAATATTTTCATGGCAACTGCTCTGACGAGCTACTTTCACTGGTATCCCGGACTGCATGAATTTAAGCGTGCTTCTTGGTTGGCATCTCGGTCTCACCCTTTCACTGTCGAAACGGTTAAATGAAACCGTTTCTTCCACTCCAACAGCTTCTTCTCTCGCACTTCCCGACAGTGGAGCTCCCTTCCTCTTACTTGCTTCCATGATAGCTGTAATCTTCAAATATTCAAATGTAATGTCAGTCGATGTCTTCTGATGGTTTGATCTTGATGCCCGTCCTTCTTTTTATCCTTCCCGCAAAAAAAAAAATAAAATAAAATAAAATAAAAACAGTCTTTACTCTTGTTCTCACTCTCTGTAACCTTTTGCGGGCTAGTGGAACCCCCGCCTTTCTTGGGGAGAAATGCTTAAAAATGTTTGAAAATGATAAAAGAAAAAAAAAAAATCAATATTTTCCGATTCTAACAAATGGCGCAGTTTGGGTAAAGTCTATTGAATGCTAAGCTACAAAAAATGTTGAAAATTTTTTTCTCCTTTTTTTTTCTATTTTTTTTTTATGATTGAACCAGTTAATTAAAGTAGGGGTGAAATATAAAACGCCTTAAATCCTTTGAGAGTTGAGGCGTTTCATATTTCGCAACTGGTTCAGTCGTGTAAATAAGTGGTAGAACAGTGACTGGGGAGGGATAGTAAAAGGACAAATATTGTTTAGAGCTACAAAGGATGAGAAGTTACGAAGAGACCCGATCGCCCACACCTGAAGTAGAATTCTCAGCAATTGGTATCAGTGTCACAAACATAGGCGAAATAATTTTCCGCCTATCCTGTTGGGCTAATTCACAGATTAATTCGTGCTCCAAATTCTGGTGCACTCGTAACAGCATTCTACGCACTATTTGCTTATTCAAATCCCTTATCTTGCCGGAGTATTTCCCGAATAGCATAACGGATTATCTATTTCATAAGAGTCGACTATAGATTAAGCAACGTAAGGATTAGTCGCTAATCAGTAAATCTTCTTTAATTAGATACTAAAACTGTAGAAGTGATATTTTTAGATTATATATATATGTTTTATATATATATATATATATATATATATATATATATATATATATATATATATATATATATATATATATATATATTACCTGAAAATTATGGATAATCTGATTTTTATTTGTTTTTCCTTTTCTAAATAAAACAGTCGAGTCGTTATCCATTGTGCAACACGATATATATATATATATATATATATATATATATATATATATATATATATATATATATATATATATATATATATAAGGGGAAAAGGTGGTTTTAAAAAAAAAGCGGCAGCTACTGCCATTAAGCATTACTCTTCAAGTAAAATTGAGTTCTAACACCCGCTGGCTTATTTCGTATA